GGCTTTTTCTCTCTCTCTTTTTCAGTGTGGGTGTACATGAGTTTCATCCACTGGGGTCACATTTCTTGAATAACAACACATCTTTTTAAAAGTGTTGAGACAATCTCACTAAACTTCTAAATTCACAATCACACCCCTCATTCCAAGAATAGCCGTCATCACCATTTCCAAAGCACCCCAGGTGATTAACCAATAATAGAGTCAAGAAAAATGAAAAAAAGAGTCGTGAGTGAAATTTATTTTTATTTTATTTCAAAAATATTCATTACATGCAATCCACAACCCTCAATTGAATGTCATCTTGGAAGGAATAGGATGTTTCCTTTGAGCCTGGACAAAAGAGAGAGATTGTTTCATCTGTTGTTTATGAATCTTTCAAGGATACATTTTGGCTGCTAAGTTTATGAATAAGTGGACACTGCTGGTGAGCTTTAGTTTTTTAAACAAAATCACTTACTGTACAGTGTGCTCTTTGTGAAGCTTCCGTTTTTGTTCCAGTGTCTAATTAGGTTTCGTCCAGGTGATTCCAGTGATCTAGAAACTAGAAACACTAACATCTGTAATTACAAACTCAGAGTCTAGAAAGCATAAGAAAAATACAATTCTAGAAGCTTTATCATCCTAAACAGGCATTCAATTACCAACATTTGACCCTTCAAGAGCCACACAAATGTGCTGCTCTTATTGCAAGAAACTGCCCAGAGCAATTCTCTTGAAGTTGCTGATAAAACATGGACTTCAAATGGACCTTATTTACACAATTTTAATCAAAGGCCTTTTTCTTTATATTGGATTACATTGTTATTTATTGGAAGAATTCAAACATGTTTAAGCAACCGGCCCCTCTGCGATGGAGTACTTTATCGGATGAGACCATCAGGTGCTGTGAGTCTGACAGTCCCAGTGTTTGGTGGCTCACTCAACATGCTGGTATCGATTACTTTCCCCGATTTAATCTCCCTCCTCTGTTTCCCTGTCCAGCCCCACTCAATCTCACCGGTAGTGTGAAACAGTGACAGCTATATCAACCTGCTCAACACACTCAGGCAGCAGAAGGGATGTAGAGAAAGAAGGAGTGGACAGAGATAGGGAGAACGAAGGAGAAAGCAGGAGGGATAAAAACAGATGAAATCTAAAAAATACAAAGGCTATTTAAACTCCATGTTTGTGTCAAAATAAGTAGTTATTTCCAAATATTTTTCTAATTTCTTTGTAACGGAAAATCCATGAAACCAAGTGAGTTTGAAAGCTTGCAGTTTGATCAGCGACCTTGTCCGATGTATGTGCTTAGTGACTGGGGCCAGGTGGTTCTGTCAGGCTGTCAGCGCTGAGCGGGTCAGAGAAACAACATTTGTTCCTGTTGTGTTGCTTTAATAAGACTCATTAATACACTGCAAGTGACACCAGCAGCATCTGACTGCGTCCCCTCTGGGCTAGTTTTGGCATGATATAAGGACACATACATTCATTGAATTTCACTTATTCTTATAACGTATCAAAGATGAATCTTTGCACTGCAGCGGAACTCACATCCCTTATTCATGTGTGTGTGATTGTGTGTCATGCTTTGGCTTGTGCGGTGCAGTTAATAGCCTGTTAATAAACATGATTTCAATGGACATATTGTAATGCGATGGTTTATTATTATTATTATTTATTACAATATTTTCAGGTAAAATATATGATGGCCACGATTTAGCTTTCAGACATAATTTTTCAAGTGTGTGTGGACTTAGATGCCGTGGCATGATTAGTTTTTTTTTAAATGTTGAATTACTGGATGTTTACCCATTTACAATAGTGAAACACACCTTTTACACTCAGGGTTTGAGTGAATAGTTAACATTTGGGGAAATAAGCTTGTAGATTTCTTGCCGAGATTTACCGCTACTGCTCTTACAGTATGTTTGATTTCTAAATATGAAACACAGCGAAAAACCGACAGCCAATGACCCATTAGTTTAGCTTAGCTTAGCATAACAACTAAAACAGAGGCAACAGCTAGTCTTGCTTTGTCCAAAGGCAATTACTTGCTTGAAAAGTAGTATTTCCCTTCAGTATTTTATTCATTGATGTTTATTGTAATTGGCTGCATATGGACGTAATCCTTAGAACTATGAAAGCCCGAGGAGACTGTACTCTTATAAAGTTTTTGAAAGAAGTATTTCACTTTTACCACTTCCTTTACTACTCCCACTCATGGAGTTTTATTGTTGTGATAATTTTTTTCTTCTTTTTTTTTGCTTCCCTGCAGCAGTTGAATGAAGCGTGAAATCATTTGATATGAGATGCACTTTAATGGACTCTCTAATCACATGGTGGAAGTTTGCTAAACCATAACCTCGGGAAATGGAGCTTGTTTGAGTAAAATGTTTGGAGGACTGAAATGCACAGATTTGCTATTTTTCTTTAGTTTTATGTTTTCTCACAAACTCCCTTCTATTCTCACAGCTCTTGACATTTTTTATTTGAATTCATACAATCTGATAAGACAAGGTTTGGTTTGAGACTCGATGCTGTCTGCTGTTCGGCGTAGCCACACATCCACAAAGGTGAGGGAAGGTTATTACTGGAGGTTGACCGGTGTTAATCCCCAGAGTCTCTTGGGCAATGTGGGTGGAGAGGGTGAATGAGTAACTCTCCTCACCTTCAACTAACTGTCAAGGTGGCTTTCCAGCGAGGCACCAAACTCCAACTGCTCTGCTGGAACCAATCTGTAGCAGTCAGTGAATACTGGAATAGAAATGGATGTAGGGCTGAAGGACATCCTTTACTCGGTTACTGATGATACATTAAGAAACTCTTCTTAATAAAAACTTGAATATGTTTAGGCTCCTAGTGAAACAATGTCTCCTTTTTGTTGCATTTGAGTAATTAAACATTCAAAGCTTTTACATTGTTGTGTACAATAACCTTTTGTCAATTTCTCATTCTAGGATTTTCTGTGGTTGAACAATAGAATATTTTTCATTTTCAAAACTTCCTTTCATTTGCCCACTGATTTTTGTTGCTTATTTTATAGTTTCATTGGCATGCATGAGGAAATACCTTCTGCAGATGTACTGTTGAAATGAATATATATGCTACTGGACAATGAGTAGTTCATTTTATTTGTGTGGTCAGATGGTCCGAAGAAAGCTGAGCTTGGTTGGTAAAGTATAGGATTCAGGCTAAGTTTACATGTCGTTTCTTGGTTTCATATTATTTATATATGTAGTATATAGGCTGGCGTATACGCTGGCTCTCAAGGCAGCATGATACCTGGCATCCTCAGAGTCTCGCCAAGACTCTGGTGGAGCAGATTCTACACCATCTGTAGCTCCAACGTTTGTGCCACCCCACCCAAAGCCAAGAAGATGATTGCTATCAGCATGATTACGTCTTTATTAGATTAGCTGTGCATTGTTTACAGGCTTGTGGCTCTGCCCCTGCCAACAGCGGCTAATACCATTTCCAGTAACACATGTGTTACTTTTGGCAAGAATGAAGAAGGTTTTTTTTCAAGATTATTCATCAGTGATGTCAGAAATGTCACTTCCACTGTGATCTGTTGTTGAGGATACAACCGGCCAATTCAGAGCTTATTTTTCAAAAGGATTTGATCTTGGGATGAACTTGTGCAAACAGGAAAGAATACTAGGTTTTTATATTTTAATATTTTATTCCAGTGATCTTAAGTCTTATGAATTGACATCCTATTTAAAAGCATCTCTTTTCAAATACAGACCCAACTTCCATCCAACAGTTCTTAAGTGAGAATGTGATTTAGTCTATAATTGTTTTTAAATTGCAAAATATCCAGATTCTTCAGCCATGAGTGCCGGATAATCAGTTTTTGAAGCCACAGTGACAGCGCAGCCATTTTGCCACCATTGCTGCGCATATTAACACCACGCCAAGGAGTGAAGACATGATCAGAGGAGAGGACTGCTCTGCCAACGTCTGTCTCCTCCATGCCAGTGCATGGGGAGAAGGGAAAGGTAGCGGCCAGCGCCAACTTTCCACTCCAGCTGGAGAGATGGTGAGAGGCATTGTTTCTCTCATCTCCTACTGTCAGCCCTTGTAGTAGCTGGTCTGTAAGACTAGCCTCTATTTTAAAATAGAAGTGAGTCATCTTGCCAGACACTTCAATGGCCTAAATGCTGGATTCTTACAGTACCTGGCAAAATACAGCTTTTAAAGTCTTCAAAATGTTCACCTACCATTTTCTCTGCAGGATATTTAAACACAGGAGATTGCATGTTAATGTGGTTAAAGTTTAATTGGAAATATTTAATATCATTTTATGTTGCCCACTTTGCTTAACTGATTTGGCTGGAAGTGACAGCCTTCTCTCTGGGCAGCATCCTACAGTGCCTCCCTTCATTGCCTTTTAAAAAGGAGTCCATCAATATGCCAGTCACACCTACAGATGCTGGTCCAGTCACTAATTCACAGAGCCTCACTGTCCCCATCTCTGTCAACGCTGTCTCTGAACACACTTCCTTTCACTTTGCTCTGGCCTTCAGCACCATGGATGTAAACTACCGCCCTCTGTTGGCCATGTCGGGGAGTTCAAATATCAAAATCAAACCATTGAAATATTGTCCAGCATTGCACTAAGACTGGAAGTTGATGCAAGTATTCAGTATCAATTTACTTGCTGTTCTGGAACATCTCAGTAGGTCAATCCGTCAATGTATTCTTTATTGGTCAACAATACATTGACTTGAAATAACAAAATGTATGACAATGAGAGAATAATACATTTAAATAAGGCCAGGCATGGCAAGTTTATTTATGTAGCACCTTTCAACACAAGGCAAATCAAAGTGTTTTACAAAAATGAAAACCATTAAGAACATTAAGAGATAAATGGTTTGCGCCAAGTATACTTTTATGACACATTGTTCATTTGTATTGTTTGTTTATAAAAATCTAAACATTGCAATAGTATAACACATACTGTTACCTGCAGTAATATTGAAAAACATATCTCTCGTTGTGTTTCCTCTCTTCAGGTCCAACTGGCTGAAGCCCTGCTGTGGGCGACGTGTCGCCCTGTGGCAGGTCTGTCTGCTGAGCGCTGGATTCAACTGCATCCTGGTGGCCTGCGTCATCCTCGTGGTGCTGTTCCTGTCTCTGGAGCTGCTCATCGACACCAAACTCCTACAATGTAAATAGTGGCTGCTTTTTATTCCTCCTATTTTAAACTGCAAAAGCATACATATTCTTCTTTAGCAATACACTGTGTGAGGTCCATGAAACACCTGGGAGTCAACCCGTGCAACACGCATGAGCCGCTCTACTGGAGGGAACTAATGGCTTTAGTGTCTGAAACGTTGCTTACTCACCTGGAGCTTTTCCTTTACTGTGAACAACCTGCCATACGTACAAATATGTATTTGTTTTAAAAAATCTATGTAAAATGTGTATAATTTTCCTTATCTCTCCTAGCATTTGCTTTTCAGCTAAACTCAACTCATCAGGCTGTAAAAAGTTTCAAAAGAATTATTTGAGTATTTAAATAGTATTCTAATGTACTCTAATTCAATTCAATTGGGAGGGAAATATTCTGTGTTAGACATTTCCCTAATCTATCCATGAATATGAGCGCATATGGATTAGAGCTGTCACATAATCAGATTTCACTACAGGATTACGTTGGCCGAAATAGTTATCCCAATATCTAAAAAATATTGGGGGGAGAACATTTGTATTTCAGTCAAATGTATCTTTGTGTTGTTTTATTCATGTGTGCATGGCATTTGGTGATGCAGACAAAGCGAGAATGGGAAAGAATAATAAATGAATGAAAGGACGGTTTATTTAAGTGATATTTTTATTACGTTACATTACATGTCATTTGTTAGATGCTTTTATCCAAAGCGACTTATAAAAACATAAAAACATGTTTCAAATATCATGGTTGTCATCAATACCGGTTCATCCGAATTCGGTGATAGTAAAACATTGAATCAGTGTGACTTTGAGTTGTGAACCTCATTCTGTTTCACTTTAGGGCACTTTACACAATTCATGTCTGAAGATCCATTGTTTGTATGTGCGGTAAAAATCATTATAACAGTCTTATGATTTACTCGATAAGCAGTCATGTGTATGCACGTAGGGCCCACTCCTCCGTACTCGTAGTCTTGCCAGCCACAGAGGAGCTGGTGGTGCCGGATGGTAAATGGTTGTGATGGAGAGCGTGATGGAGAAAGGTGATAATGAACCAAGTCTCTTGTCTTGATGACAGCAGCCCCACGTCCTCATCGATTACTGGCCAGCGTCCAGCTCCGATGATGGGGACTGCAGGACTCTATAGTGGCCTCAGATCTATTGTAATCCACTGCTGTGTCTGCAGCCACTCCTGCAAGACAAGCAGTGGAGTGGATAGTGTAAAAATAGAGTAAGTGTAGGAGTCCATGGAGAGATTAGTGGTGTAGGACCTGGGCAGATACAGGTTGGCTCTGTGGATTTAATGATGAACCCTGAGATATGTAAAATACTAGTAATGCTGATGGAGTGAATGTCACGGAGAGGATCAACGAGAGGTGTAATCATGGTAAAAGTTCAGGCAGTAAAGGGGGTTTCCCATTATGTTTGCTAAACCTTGTAATTTAAAATGACATTTTGTCACAAATGGCAGGTTATTTGACCAACAAAATGTACGGCCTTCTCTCACTAGGTTGGCAAATAAAATCTGCAACTGAAAAAGATGCCATGAAACACAGCTCAAGAGTTTATAGTAGTCCAGCCCAAAATAAATCAACATAATTGAAGTAAATGGAGGTGATTTTATTGTCCTAATTGGTTGTGCATGTATACAGGAACTCCTTTCTTTCTTGTCCTTTCTTGTGTATAACACTTTTGCAGAATAACATTTGTTTATGCTTCTTCTCTCAACAGTTTCCAATGCTTTCCAATTTGCCAGCATAATCCACTGGATCAGCCTTATCATCCTGTCCCTCTTCTTTTCAGAGGCAAGACATGTTTACTATTGTCTTTAAACCTTACTCTGATCTTATAGTCATCAGTTAGGTTTAATTATTTTCCCTTCTCTTTGCTTTTGGTGTTTTGCATGATGTTTTATTGACACAGAAGTCCTTCAGGGGCACAAACATCTTGCATTTCTTTTAAATGAATTGAACACATTTGTTTCACTGTTGATACTATCATATATGTATTGCAAAATAGGTACACAGCTGAGGAAAGCATTGCACGTGGCTGCCATGTATTTTCCTGTAGTGTATTGTCTATTCAGGATTCAGCCTTTGCTTAAGAAAGGTGTGATGGTTGGTAAAATGTCTAATGTGTAAACCATGATTGCAATTAGTGTTAATAACATTTGAGCTATTGTTTGATAAGATAATGTCTTACCATCACTTTATAAATGTTAAATACAAAAGGGGAGGGGGAGGGCGCATGTTTGGCCCACAGGCCTCCACTAAGGTGCGAACCAATTACCCCGACAGCCTCAGCCCCGATGCCCTAAACCAAACATTAATTACCAGAGAGCCAACAGGAGCAATAATTAAGGCTGAGCTTAATGAGCAGTGGGGATGGGGTTACAGTGATACGATCCATCTAAACACCTCAACCACTGACATCACAGAAGAAGAGTCATCTGGGAATGATGATAGATAGATAGAGTATACCACCAGCCAGCCCCTTACACCAATCAGAAAACTTTTTTTTTTTAAATGTAGGCGGGGTCATTTGACACCAGCACTGTTGTCCAACATGTGTCATGTCTGACTGCTCCTGCTAATCCATCATTGGGACAATGATGGATTAGCAGGAGCAGTCAGACATGACACCCCATGCTAATTAGAGTGTAAATCAATGGCCCTGCTCAACAAAGGGTCCAACAACCAACAGCATTTTCAAAGCACAATGTGGAATTTGATATGTTGCAAGTGTTTGTTTTGTGAGTCAAAGATCAAGATCAGGGAAGATCATTGAATCATGTAGCTAGCATACTTGCTTGTAAAAGACTATTTTTTGTGTGCATGCACTTTACATTTTCTACTAATCAAAGACTGCTACTTCAGTTTTTTATTTGAATTTCTTGTGAGGTCAACAAAGAGATCTATCTTAGTTATTATTCCACTGAAAATAATATTTAAAGAAGAAAACTGTACTGCACAGGCCTCCTCTTAGTTTCTAGTCTGATTTCTTGCATCCTAACAAAAGGTGTTGAATGTGATGACACCTCAAAGGACTAAGAATATCAAGATCTTTTTATATGTATAAGTCGATCTATTTTAATGCTTTCATTTATCTCTCCCTGTCTGTTTTAGACTGTCTTCAGAATTGTAGTGCTCGGGATCTGGGACTATATAGAGAACAAAGTGGAGGTCAGTGCTGGTGTTGTGTGTTTATTCATTGATGACCGGTTTTTATATTGGTGACTTGTTCTAATGTGATATCTATATTTCACCCCCCCAATATTTTCGAAAATACAAACACAACACCATTAGTGCTTTGTTGACTTTTGTCTGTGCTTGTGTGTCTGCCAGGTGTTTGATGGCGCCGTCATCGTGCTGTCCCTGGCCCCCATGGTGGCCTCCACGGTGGCCAACGGGCCCAGCAGCCCCTGGGACGCCATCAGCCTCATCATCACTCTACGCATCTGGAGGGTCAAGAGGATCATTGATGGTGAGGCAGGCAAAGACCTTGTAACCATTAAAGATGTTTCAGTAAGACTGAAGGAAACAGGCTCTCTCTTAACTCAAAAGGATTACACATGTATAAGAAGCAGCTTGCTTTAACAGAGCTAAATGACCCCATTCTCTCCATGATTATACAAATGATTTACTATTCAGAGACATATAGCTATTGATCATGATTCATAGTAAATTGCTGCCACTCTGCTAACTTGTATTGATTGTAAGGGAATGGTTCGGTAGACTCAGAGAGGCCATAATGAATATAGTAGATGTTCTTTATGCTAATTCTGAGCGGTTCGATATCTGTTCGGAGGTCACCCTCACGGCGGGCCTCTGACAGCATACAGGATCTCAGTGTTCAATGTGTTCATGTCTAAAGAGACAGTGGACAAGGGTTTTCCCTAATATCTCCCTTTGAAGAAACGGTTGGATATTTTAGGAAATACCTTTTTTGCTTTTACTTGCACTTGTTTCCATAAGGCCAGAAGGAATAGCAAGAAGTCCGATTGTATGGAAGTCTATGACAAAATGACCACATTTCATACTAAACCTTTTAAACAACAGCGTATGCTTTAGGGTGTAGCTACCTTGTGATTGATACCGTTTTGGTGTCGTCCATTTCATAGTCTTAGAATTTTAGCCCTTAGTATATGAAAGTGTGTTAAGTCTTTCTCTTGTGTAACTTCTGGTTCTAAAAAAAAAACTGGATGGCAATGGCCAACGCACAAAATCTGACGCTTTTAAACAGTTCAAGGATAATAATTTTCAAAGTAGCCCAGTCAGCCCAACAGAACCTTACATAGCTCCCAAACAAACATGTTATATCCATAAAAAAAAGATAAAAACAAGAGGAATTGTGTTAAAGTCTTTGTGGTAAGCTAAGCTATCTGACTAGATCTAGTGTGTATATCAATCTTCTCATTAAACCTGCAGACAGAGAGGCAATAAGCACATTACCAAATTGTAAACACTGCCCTTCTGTTGTAGCCTGCCTATTTAACTTCAATGAGGGATAGGCCTACGCACATCAAACACTGTTATTTTATTTATCTTTTAATATATATTATATTCATGATAAACACCTGAATCAACATTTCTGCCTTGGTTGATTTCAGGATGGCTTTATCCAAACTCTTTATCATAAATGAGTTCATTGTTTTAATCAATCAAATATATTGAACTCAAAGGGACACATCATAATGACATGATTAATAATTGAAGGAATCAATACAATATAGCTTTCAACAACATTGATTGACTCGGTGAAAACATTTAGCAGGAGCATGTGTCCTGCTATCACGCTGCTGCGGTGTTTGTTTCATGGAATTAACTTGTGATTTTCCTCCAACACACCTCGACCTGCTGGCTTTGATATTTGTGATTGATTGAGTTTCTGTGCTGGGCAGGCGGCAACACACCTCAGAGGGAAACAAATACACTCAACCCAATAAATGTACAGCTGAGGGACCGGCTCAGTTATCGTACGAGAGAGATTGAGACTCTTGCAGAATTAGCTTGACGTATGAATCGTCAATGGTTGTGTCAGCCCGATGGGAGTGGAAATACTGAGGAGTGAACTGCAGCAGAATTTAAAAGGACCAGAAAGCAGAATACCTAAGCAGAGTGATATGTCAGATAGGAAATATCCACCTCCCAAATGTGTTGAAAATAGTTGATCCAAAGAAATACATAGAACTGGAAATGTTAAATTCCTCCTATCAATCTGTTGCATTGACTTTAGAACCCACATTTTCTGTTTTTGTCAATTAATACATTGATGCAAATAATAATGAATTAAAATCAATATTTGTGCAAGTGCTTTAAACGGAGCCATTTTTACCAAAGTCAACAACTTTCCCTTAATAGCAAGTGATACATAATAATGAGAAATGGTATAATGCATTGTTTTAAAAGAAAATCACATTACACATTGAAAGAAACCAGCCTCTGTCAAGTCATTGTGTGACAAACAGATCAAATATGCAGTAGCCCAAATGTGCTTTCACTATATTGTGCAGCTAAATAATGAACCTGTGATCGAGCTTTTCATGCCTCTTTGAATTCTTACTGCACTAACCCCATCTGATGTCCCCACTTTTTGCAATGTGTGTGTGCCAACCTGACTATAAATAGGTACGCGAGCATGTGGCGACGGCTGCGTGCGTTGCTCTGCTCACCCCCAAATTTACTCGCACTGCTCTTTTTTTAAGTACACCTTCCCATCCTGCTCCAGAAAGTGTGTCATTTAAAAGTGTGCAGTCAATATTTTAACAGGCGGAGTTGCTTTAATTAATAAAGACTTGATTTGATGCATCACTTCAAGCACGGCTGCAGATTATTCTTCCTGTACTACAAGGAATTGTTTAATTAACATGATAAAAGATCAATGAAATGAATGAACACATAAATAAATAATCAGTTGCAGTTTTGTGTGGAAAAAGATTGGCGAGAGATGACAGGAGAGGATTAAAGCTGGAGTTTGTTGCTTTTGTCTCCCCCCTCTGGCAGTAGGAATAATTACACTATTAGAGGAACCATGGCGACGGAGCATCAGCTCAGAGTATGGTGCAAGATACGTTTGTAGAAGAAGAAGCTCCAGAAAAAAAAAGAAACTTAAAAATAATGAAAAGAGTAAGAATTCAGGGGAAAACCTGAAGAAAGCAGGATAGATGCGTCAAGCTCACCTGCTGGCCTATCTCTGCCAGCGCAGGAAGTCACACAGACGCCAGTTAATCAGCATTATGGGAACCTGCTTGGCAAAGGCTCAAATGCAGCCAACATTCATTTATATGAAAAAGCCCCACACAGCTTTAAATCTATGAGAGAGGTTAAGGGAAAGAAGAAAAAGTGATTCAAGGACGGCCAAAGTGTTCTGGCAACACTTCAGTGCAACACTGTGTTAGGAAGAAGTTGCAACTCTTTTGGTCATTTGATCACCAAGAATATACAACTAGAAATATTTCCATATTGGTACACAAAGTAGGTCAAAGTCCTCATGCCCAGGCTTGTTGTTTTTGTTGATTGTACTGCATTTTGTTTTAAAGGAGCAGTTTTGTCAAACTCCTTTTTACTGGATTTGATAGTTTGTCACATACATGTCTTCGTGGACTGTTTCAAGAAGATAGTATTACAAGGTATCGCTCCTCCAAAAAGTAAAGCTCATAAAAAGCTTCTGGACAATAATACAAATCCGTAGAAACTGCAAATGATCATCTGATGATTATGCAAAAAAGTCCTTTAAAGTAACTCAAACAACACTAACGGAGTGTTAGCTCTGCAAAATAAACTATAAATTGAGTCTAACGTTTTTTCCCAAAAAACATTTAATCAAAACACAAATAAATGACTTTAGTTTATCTACATGTTGTTACATTTGTCAAGTGAGATACCAGTATCACTGTGCATGGATTCATCTGCCTGGTATTGTCATGTTGACACTGAGTTGAGTAAAGCACACGTGATGACTGTGATCAGACGACGTTGTCGGGGATCTTGGGCTTTTTGCAATATATCTAATCTGAGATCAAAATGTACGAAAACTTTGTGACACCCTCCCAAGTCGGCATGAAACAAGATCCATGTGGAACATTTTCAGCACCTTGCAAAATGCATTCAGTACAGGTATAGGGTTACTGGTAACCAGTAATTAATGAGCTTTGCATATGTGATGACAGACATATATGGAGTGAAGGACGAATGTTCCACCAACACTGACCTTTGACCTTGATGCGCTCGATGTAGTTTACCAGCTGTCTTGATGCCTCCAGTCAATACATTTCAGACCATTTAAATATGTAGTTCCATGATCTAAAATGTGTTATTGTGTATGTTTTAAAACTATGTTGCCCCTTTTCTGTCAGCTTATGTTCTTCAAGTCAAAGTGGAGATGGAGTGTGAGATCCAGCAGTGTGAGAAGACGAAGGCTGTGAGGGAGGAGCAGCTGGAGCGTCTCACTCAGATCTGCCAGGAACAGGCTGTGAGTACCAACAAATCACTCATTTAACCTGAACACTGCATCCCCCATACACCTACACAACATACTCTTGTAAGAAAACAGGAAAAACACACAATTTATCGCATCCACTCAACACAGTATATGGGTCCTGGTGCACGTCACACCCGCTTACCAACAACTTTGAAGCGGTACTGCATGAGGACGGAGACATAATGTGTGTAGTCAGCAATTTTTTTAAGAAATGTGGGTCATAAAGTAAGTAGCATATGGTTGGAGGGGGGAGTGGATCATGATGCAGCTATTTCACACTTTTTAATGTACACACTATTGGAATCTGTCCACAGTTTTGTCTCAGTTCTGCATGATGGTAGAATCTTTTAAAGCCACATTTTAACCCAAGGACTGAAATGAATACTCAAAAGACAGAATACAAACTCAGACTCACTTGTAGGAAAGTAGACACACATAATTACTTTAAGTTTATATTGTATGCCAGTAGTAAAACATTACAATTCAAATGTTGAGGTTTCTCACAGACTGCTTTATGATCATTTTATAGTCAAAAATATATAACCATAAGGGTCTGACTTAGACCACATAAGCCCATTTGCAACTGTCAGCTAATGTTCCACCAGAAGAGGGCAGCAGTACCTTACAAAGAGGTTCAGTCTCTCCATGTATTTTATGATTCCTGAGCGCACACAGGGTGAAGATCCCATAAGGCAAAATGCAGACTATAATAAATATTGATAAAGACTTAACCTTCAAATGAGCTTCCAAGTTCAGGTCTGAGACGACCAGACATGAATAATTATAGGAAAATGATTTAGTATAAGAAAGGAAATGATCAGACCGTTTAAAAGAATTATGTGAATCAAGTTGTTCATTATAAATGTGGGCAATAGTTTTTCAGTTTCTATTTAAATGCACACTTTGGGTGATAACTCCTGCCATATGTTCAAATATGACCTTTGTCAAAACGTAGGGTGATTTAAGAATACATTTGGAATAAAGTAATACAAACCCTGAGCAAGTTTAATTAATTATTTGTAATTCATTGTGTGTATTCAGCATTCCAAAAACCCTGATATCAATACAAAGAGACATCACAGCTGTAGATTAGAGGAGCATACAGTTTACTCAATACATTATTAGATAATGCACTTGAAGTAATGCTGAAAAAATAAATCACAAATAATCAACCATATAAATATAAGCATAGACAATCTTTATTTGTCAAAGCATTTAATGTTTGATCTTTGATGGCGTCAAAGGCCCTCAGTATGAAACTGCACATAATGTTAACTACTCCATCAAAATGTTTAAATCATACTGTACATGTTCCCTAGAGAAAATAGATTTAGTTATCACGTTTGACCTGAGCCTGTATCTTTGGCCTTTCCTCTTGCCTTCCCCGTCATTATTTCCATCTCTATCTTCGTCACTCATCCGTTTTTTAAATCCATCCCTACACTTTCACCCTCGCCTAATCTGCTGATTCTCCCGTTTGTTTCACTGACCATCTCCAGTTTGAGATCCGGCAGCTGAGGGCCCATCTGGCCCAGCAGGACGTGGACCTGGCAGCAGAACGTGAAGCAGCCATGCAGATCCACCATGGGTGGGGCAAACAGGGCAGGAGTTTTCAGGTGGTGGAAGGCCTGCCTCCTGGGGAGTTTGACGATGAGGGCGGCCAGAGAAACCCCAGGGAGCCACATCCCACAGCAGGTAGAGATAACACAGAGTTGTTATGGACAGGCTTGCAAGATATTAAAAGAGTGATTAGATTTAGTAAAAATAAAGCATCCAAGGTTGATCTGCAACGACTGTCAGAAACAAAGCATTTAAAAAACAATTTACCTTCCCTTCTGACACAAATGTTGTCTTAAACATGTCCTGCAGAGAGGTTAAGAAGTAGGTTACGGTTGGAAACGCTTTTTCTAACACTGAAAATGAATTAATCGAAGCCATAAGCCTGTGGCGTTAAACATCTAGCTAATTTGAATACACACTATGCCAGGTGCAGTGTGTTTGCTTGAGGAAGCAGCATGACAAACCAGGAGAGAGGTGCAGCATAACGTATGTACATAATAATGTGGAACAAAAAGTCTCTAACAGTGTAACATCAGGTGAACTGGATGCCAGAGCAGTGTACGGTTAATCTGGAGCAGTAGCCCTGGAGCATCTTCGAGGCCAAGCTCTTAGCCCCTCTGCACTCGCACACAACACCCATCTGACCGCAGGCGCTCCGGGATCAATATGAGGGCAAAAAAGCTTTTAGGATCTGGGGAATCCTGCAGAAAACAAGCATGTTCTGTGACACTGCGTCAGCTTGCATGGGCTTCTGTCATGCCCCAACTATCTCTCTGGGCAGGCTTGGCGAGGCCAGCCTGCCCAGACCACTTGGGCTATTTCAGGTACAGAGTGCTCTGTGCATTGGGTCTTGTTCGGGGAGAGTTGGCTCCTGTCAACATCTGTTCCCCTTCACCTGCAAACCACAATAGGGCACCATGAGGCTCCGCAGCAGCCACAATATTACCCTAAGGGCATAGTGGGAAATCTGGCTCTCAGAAACAAGTGTGGCTTTTTACAGATACATGGTCACTGGGAGGAGCACTTAGGCCACAGGGCTCAAGTCAAGTTGGGTCAGCTCAAATCAAACCACGTTTATTGGTTTTCCTCAATTTGGCACAGTCTCAATGGGCTTCTCTCAAACTCACCTGCATGTCGCTATCAAACTATCAAGAACTGTTATCAAGGCAGTGGGCTTCACAAGGATGATATCTCAGGAGATGAATGTGTATGTCACCTAAAGTACCAAACCGTGTAGACTTTGAGAACAAAGGGACAAATCAACATTGATCAATAAGCTGGTGGAGTTCTCGCTCAGATTTTGAGAAGGTTGTAGGCAAGCTATTGGCTCTGTGAGACTTTCCGATAGCAGTGCTTTGAGCTAAATGGTATCGTGCTTACAAGGACAGTGGTAACATGTTGATTTTAAGCAGTTATAGTGCTTAACATGTTCATCACTTGAAATGTTTCTGTTTCCTGCCTCGGGACGACAGATGTAAATGAGCATTTTAGCTAACATATTTTCAATACATCTTGCGTTTTTTTTAAACTGATGGTTATTTGCATGCTCTGACTCTATCGAAGAAAGAAATAAATAAAGTTAAGATCATCTTGATTTAGCATGTTGGCATTCCGACATTTGGAAATTTGCACCAAACACAAAGTAGAGCTGAAGCATGGGAATGCCATTAAATACATTCAAAAAGTCAAAAAACATGGTGAACTAGAAGTCAGGGGGTCACTAAAGTTTTGAGAACTAATTCCAAAAGGGACATGAAAGCCTTTACTACATTTTACAGCATAGAATCCAATAGTTTGCGATACATTTGTGCCAAAACCACACAAAGGAAAGGAAAGTTAATGGGATGTTAAGTCTGCAGGCTCCATGGGGATCATGAATGTCTGTACAGAAGACAGACATTGCCATTGCCATAAGCCATACTGCTAACACAGCTAAATGGCATATATGATATAAACCTCCCAAACTGTGAAACTATTATGTTATTAAACCACACACTAAAAATAATATTTAATAGATACTGGTTGCTTAGTTTATCCTAACATTAGCAGCAGCTGTTGCTCATCTGACTCTCTTACCTATAGTATAGACTGATACTCAGCCATCACAATTATAGTTTAGTTTTGAACTGAAAGGACCTCAGCATGTCACCTCTCTTTTTCCACAGAAGACAGCCTGCTAACTTGACTGTCACAGAAACACGGGCAGAGCCTTTTATGCATGCTGGACAGCCCATTCTTTTTTCTCAAGACTCATGTGTTATTAATTGTGGAGCGATTGTCTCAGTCTTGTTTTAGTGAGTGCAATGCTTCCTCTCGAGGGGTGGCTCAGGGATTAATATTTTAGACAGAAAAATAAATGAAATTACCCATCAGAGTCTGCAGCATGTCCCAGGGGACGGGGGCTAGCACTCAGGGTACTCTGGGTTCGCACTCAGCCAGCGGACAGTGAGCTCAAGACCAATCAAGCGAACAGAGGAGCATAGCAGATCACAGCCATTCACCACGCACACAGAGGCCAGCTAGACTGGAGGGATCTGGGCCTGAACAAAGAGCTCCCACTCTCCCTCTTTTCCCCCGTTCCTCTCATCCCTGAAACCAACCCCACCCTGTCCCTGTCCCAGTTTATTTCTGGTGCACCAGGGTGCAGCTAATGCACAGCGTAGCAGTGCGTGATCCTGGCCACTTGACAATAAAGTACCTGCTGCCTGGGGCAGAAGTCATCTCTGTCAATATTATGTTGTAAACACAAGAGATATTTTCCATTTGCACTAGTTTAGGTGGTTAACAGTGAAATGGACCTACATACAAAAAGGTATGTAATCCAATTACAGTCTCTGCCACATGGAGTATTTTGCCAGACGGCCACTGTAAATAAGATTTTGTTCTTAATTGACTTGCCTGGTTAAATACAAAAACATTGGCAGTGTGAGTCAGTTACACAATAATTCACCCATATTTGCCCAGTTCTATATTTGAATTAACATGCCATTTATGTTCCATTCAGTTTTTATATTATAAATAAAAATATATCAGTTAAAACAGTATTGATAAATGCAAAATCCAAAATTTCAAAACCAGACATTGCAAATAAGAACTGTGATACCAATGTCCTAATAGTAACAGTGCCCACATACATGTTTTGCATATTTAATGAGAAAACACAACAAGGCATGTTTTTCCTGTTAAGACGTACCGTATAGTCCTCGACTGGCAGATTTTCCAAGGAGTTAATAGTTCCCGATTGCAGATGCAAACTTTAAAAGATGATACAGAATCATATTCATGCTGTCTACAGACATCAGTTTCAGAAAATATCTAAAAAAGTCACCCCCTATGGCAACACGTGGGTGTTGTTATTTTCAAATAGTAATAACCTAAATGTGTTTTTATATGTCAGATCCAGTTGTGCGTGATGACATGAACAACTACATCAGCCAATACTACAGTGAAGCTAGCAGTGGTAAGTGACAGTGAACATCAACTAATGCCACCCCATGTGAGTAAAGCAGTGAATACAAAGTCTTATTGATTGGTTATAGTGAAATAAAGCAATAGGTCAACGGACAATACTTCATGGTTCATATGTCTAGTCATAGATGTGGCTGAAATCTCAATGTAATAACTCAAAATGTACATTATCAGAAAAAATGTTATTCTTTACGTATGATGCATTTTGTATAATGTTATTTAACAATACAAATTTACATAAATTCGCATTTAGCCAATATGAGGATAGAAAATATCTGAGACATTAACAGAGATAGCAGCATAATTATTTACATGTTTTAGAGTTTTGTTGACATGACTGAAAATAACATGTTATGCACTTCTTTAGACTAAAGTAAAAGGATAATTTGTTTAACTTTAGATGTCCTGCTTTCTCTAAATGTACACAATGTTTTTCAAGATGCTGGAGCTTCTGGCCTCGGAGCCCGGGTCATCACCACGGCAGCCATTGACGTCCACCTCCCCACCAATCCAAATCCCATCCAGTCAAACCAGATGCTTGCCATGGAGCCGATGGGCAGCGCTGTGAGTGATGCCTCAAACAGCCTATCACGGTCCAGCGGCAGCCTGACGGCCCGCCCCCACAGCCTGAGCAGCCACATCCCGGGGTCCTCGATGACAGACTGCAACCCAGCTCAGGAGCTCAGTCTGAGCTACAGCACCCATCTCTGCCCCCCCCCTCCCTGCTCAGGCAAGGACCCCTGCAGGGACCCCAGCATGGTAGTGCAGGAGCTGCTCTCCTCCCTCTCTGAGGACTCCTGCCTTGCTCAAAAGGGCCTGGTAGTGGACCCTGTCAACCTAAAGCTTCCCAGCCCTACTGGCTCAGAAAAGGCGAGTCCTGAGCTGGACAACAGAATAAACATCTTCAACCGCAGGAACCAGGAGGAGAGGCGGGGCCGGGGCGGGGGCTGCGTGCTGCTGCAGACCAAGCCGCTGATCCACCTGCAGGGCAGCGGCACGGAGCCGTCCCTGGAGGAGAAGTACCGGCTCCTGGGGCCCGCTGACACGCCTCTAGAGGGCATGCCTGATACATAAGCTACACAGAAACAGAAGTCTTTTCTTTTTGCTGCCACCATGTTCGGCACATTTCTCAACTCTTGTCACAGGTCAAATCTCGTGAGAGGTTGTGTAAATCCAATCTTAGCCAATCCAGAGCAAGCTTGAGCCTTAGCTTCAGGCTAACACTGATGCTCCTTAACGTGACGTGTTCAGAAGTCAATAGTAGAAATGACAATAAGAACTCTTAGGCCCTTTGCCATACTGTCCAACCTCCCCTGCTCCTCTGATGGATTTTTGATACAAGAAATTCCCTGATAAAGCACAACAAAGACTGTAACATCCTAGTAAGGGGAGCCAAATGTGTTCTTGGACACATTCTTCATCAGGAATTCTCACTCTGAAAAGGTCCTAAATGCACTGAACTTTACATGTATTAAAACCAGCAAGGGGCCATTCCAGCCTATACTGAACAAAAGCGTTATCTCTGAGCCGTGTTGCAAACCAAGACACTGTTCTCTGTTCTTGGAATTTCAAGCAGTTAAAAAAAAGTGTTTTTTATTCTTCTCTTTTATTTGTTCTTGTTTTTTTCCTTTCAATTGGTATGAACAACTTTAAACATCAGTAATGCTGTTTCTTGTTTAAACAGCCACAGGGTACAGTACATAAGACTGGCTTAACTTTGCCTTTTTGTCACTTATTTGTTTGATTTGAAACCATGGACCATGATCCCAATTTATTGAATAGCATTTTTGTTTGACTTTTTGAAAAAAAAAACATGAGTAGGGTACATGTGTGTGGATGAAATGAAAAGGTAAGTGAGTGGATTCTTCACATGAAACTAGATTGGAGTGCTTGTAGCATGAACCTTTAAAAGATATGTGCCCTAAATGGCAAGCAAATTCTTTGCACTTTAATGTTTACAGACACTTTTGTAAACTTGATATGGAGGAAGTTATTGCCAAATGCAGGTGTTGTCATTTGAATGAAAATAGCAAAAATAAAAGTTAGTATTTCCTTAACTTCTTTATGTTTACTGACTTTAATACATCATACATTTGAAGCTGTATCAAACGCGATAAAACCACTGAGTCTAATCCAATTTCTTTCTATTCACAGGCTCCTTGTTACACACTGCACTGTACAACAGTATTCCATTAGCATCATCTCCCGTGCATATGATTTAGAAAAGTCTGAATTATTTAAGGTTATTAACATTGGAAGATCCGTCAACTGCTAATTGGTCAAGTCATTGTAAGTGTGTCGTGAGAAGTATCAGCTCCCTCTAATTACCCCCATAATATCATTAATTCAGAAGATAGACTGCTGTACCATTTTGTTGCTTGTCAAATGTTTACAAGTATCTAGAGAATGTTTTAATTGTTAATAACTATTACTGCAACAATTAAGCTATTATCAAAAGTGTTTTTCAATTATGATAACTAAGTATTAATTTTCAGATCTGGGTGTGTGGATTGTTTGTAGCCGCCTAATTGAATCTGCAATTAACACAGTACATGCGGGACCAAGGGGACTTTTTTTTGCAGACGCAAAACCAAAGAGTCCTCTTGCTGAGTAACTGATTTGAAGCCTCGACTCTGAATTCAAACGACTATTATGGTAAGACTTAATCTGTATTCTATGGACCTGTGACCGGAAACAATACAATAATAATAATAATAATAATAATAATAGCATCTTTTAAAAGTAGTTTTTTTGCAGCCTAAATAACTCCCCATGTCCTATATTCTGGCATTTCAGTTCCTATTATTTTATTGTCTAAGGAGTGTAGCAGGTATATTATATTTTGTAGGGTGATTCGTTTGGAAACTTCTTTAAAGATGTGAAATGTAGAGGTTTATACAATATGTGTTACATGTTGAAAGGAAGCAGCATACAGGCTGACATGTAAGAAAATAATAATTAACACACAGAACACCTTATGATGCTTAAGTGACATTAGCCCATGCCCATCATAGTTCACCCTGTAACAAGTAAATGCTGAAGGACAGCAGTCAATAGCTTTGTGTGTGAAGAGGCTGCATACCGTATCATTTACAGTTAAACTTCAGCAGGCAACATGTGAATATCTGTCTAAATGACAGCCAGGCGAACTTATGTTATTTTGGAATACATGAGTCAGTTTTTAACTTGATATGAATATGGATCAGTGACACAACAATTCACATTAACCAGGAGCGATGCCCCAGTATTAGAAGGCCACGACATAAATGGCTTTTGAGGGCAACGGCATGGGTCCATTTTCTCAGTAGTCGACTGTACTATCATAAAAAATAAGGTCAATTGATGCAAACATTAGCCTCATTACAAAATGTTGAATAAGAGATTAAAGAATAACAACCCTATGTATTACATCTAAACAATTAAGCAGGGTTTTTAATGCAACGGAATAATTACATGTAAAAGAGCCTTGCTATTTGGAAGCTCTATGCGTCACTAATACAAAAGAAATGGTGATATTTAAACTAATGATAACTTGTTTAAAGTTTAAATAATCTCTGCCTGAAAATATAATATAATAATAGTAATGTTCTACTGAATAAAAATACTGTAATTAACAGAACAAATGTAGAGGAATAAGGAAATAACAACCAATCAAAAGCAACTTGATGATGTAACACATGGTAAAAACCACCTGATCCCTAAAATCAAATTTTCTAATCAAAGAAAAGTGTTTTTATTGTATTCAGATGACAACTGTGTGTGTTGTAGGTTTTTTTTTTTTTAAGCATGTAAGTTGATATGCACCCTTCTCACTATAACTACACCCACCACATCAATCTTGTTTACAAAACCAACAATGCCTATCGCATGCCATGGAACAAGTAAATAAATAATGATATGCTTGGCTCTCGACACACACAAAGGAATCCTGTTGAATATGGGTGCCAAAGCTCGGCTCAGCCTCTATCTGTCACCGCGGCCTTGGTATTAATGTCACAAGGTGCTGTTCCTCAAACACTTCTAGATTAACCAGCCTGGTAATAGAAGGTTTTTACGGTTCAACTTCTAGCTCCACACTGAGAAACACTGCCCAGCTAGGAAGCTCAATTATGTGTACACTTAAAACAGATAATAAACAAAAGGTGATGCCGAAAGCCCTTCCTCTACTACTAAAGGACAAATGAAAGGTGTGGCTAAATCATTCATATGAACCCAATTTGTCAATACGTATCATTCCAGTTCAGACTGAGTTAAGTGTTCAATTTTGACAGGCAGGGACACTGAGCAGACCGTTAGGAGACGTGCTTAGAAGTAAATTGCTTTTGGGACGTCTCCAACGAATCAAGAGGTACAGTCCCTGTCACGCTCACAGGAAGCTAAGTGAATTAACAGTGACCATTAGACTCTTAATAATTTAAATGTTTTAATAATGGCACAGAGGAAGTCACTTTAACTGCATTAACATTACATGATCATTGTTGATTTATTTACTGACTCTTTGGATAAGATAATGACCTCCTTCCTTCCTTACGATAAAAGAGGTATACGACCTCACTGAGTTAACCTTTAAACATTTGAAACCTTTTGTCCGAATGATGTTTTAATTCACACATTTGAGAGCAAACAAGACATGAATTCAAATGTTTAGACAATTAGTTCCCACAAAGGACACTTTGCTTTGGTGGGTCATATTATTTATGTTACGGCTGCACAGATCAAAAAGACACCAAACATACATTTTAAATGCTATTACCAATTAAATATGCTGGATTTGTATTATTATATAATCTGTGTACAAGTGTATTTAAGCCATAAACATATTGGAAAGTAAACACTCTGAAATCAAAAAATCAAGTGCTACATTTCTGCATTATTTCTAATGGTGTCTTAAATGCCCGAGCTATGCTAAGTTACACTAAGTGGAGAGTGGGATGTATGACTATGGTGAACGGTGTGCAGTGGATAAGTGTATTAGGTTTTAGACCCAGTTTAAAACCTCCAAAAGAACAGCTTTTCAAAGTTTAGTAAAAATCTACCTAATATTGCTTTCCCCCCCAATTAATTCTTCATAAAGTTGTTTCCAGTAAACCACATGTCCACAATCTCTACAGTGAATTATAGTTTCTAAAAAACAAAGTGAGTTTGCAAAACATACAGGACATGGAAAAGAAAAACGTTTATCCATTTGGCAAATTTGGAAATGTGTTTAATAAGATTCACTTTTATTTGTTTTCGCTGCACATATACGTATTGATTTTCAAAGTACCTCCAAAAGCACTAACTGACTGTGATAGACTATTCGCATTGAGGAAATCGTAGCGACCAAATCAGAGCCAAAAGGTGAGTTAATAATGGACTCATATTCATTGGATTGCCAAAAACAAACGTCTAAATTAATGCTTATTTTAGATAATATTGATGCCATATTGCTGATGGTATATTAATTAACAAGTCCTTAATACGATTCAACATCATGTACATAGTCAGCTACTCGGAAGATGTGTGCATCTGTGTCTTTGTTAATGGCCACAATTGTGTGACAAAAGGATTGCGAAGAAATTGAACAGTCCAGCCCAGAATAGTTTTACTATGTAGGATGTAAACTGCAATAACGATGAAATATCAAATTAACATACAACATGAAATGTTTTCAATAGCTGTCTGACCTATTAGACCTTAGTGGTTCTGTTTAAGAATGTGATTTGTATTTAAGTGAATGGAAGAGATTTGAACCGCCGTCTTATGGCACAGAGCAGCTGGGTATATGTTTAAAGAGTTCATTCTCACTGAGAACAAACAGATGTGGGGAGTTTGACTGCATTACCGCTGCGGTCTGACAGATTCAGAACACGTCTCACACAGGACACTCTTTCCAGAGGCTCTGAAGCAGGAGAAAAATACAAATAAATTATACATCGTTCTTTAAAAAGCTTCTCAGGTTCTCTTTTAGAAACATATTTCTTAAGTGCACAGGATCCAGAGGTTCGCTTGGTGGAAGAAATCTACTCAGGAGACTGTTGTCATGGCTACAGCAGATTCTTTTTGCATAAAAACGTTTCCTTTCGGTACTCAACCCTCGTAGTTTTGTTACGCTACCTCGGATAAAGTGGGTCAAACTAGAAGTGGAAACAACACCCACTGAGTGACCAAGCTCAATCACTTCAGTTCTCTTGAGATATTAATGAATTATTAAATCAGTTTTTAGTAAATGTAAATCAGATTTCTAATTAGCTGATAAACAGAAAACAAATGCACAGAAAGAAATAAAGACAGAAACTTAAATTGAGTCTGATTTGCATCATGTTAAGTTTCTTTTTCTAAGTTTTTTCTAAGCAATATAACCTTGATGATTTCTCTTGTTGCTCCTGCATATGTTAACAGCAATCAGAGGAATATAGTACGCTAAGTTTGTCATGTGATAAACATGAGGACACAATTGAGAAAGTCTTCTGGGAGATGGGATGCTACATCACTCTGTGCTCCAAACAACCGAATACAATAATATACAGAACATCAAAATGAATTCAGCAATCCAACGTGTATGTATGTTATGCATGACCAGCTCCATGAAGGGTAAATTAGCGAACATTTTTGAGTAAAAAGCTTAACTCATCGGGGAAATGGCTGCCACAGATTCTACATTTCTCTAAAGCTAATTGACGCTGCATACATGTTCATATTCAATGTCTTGCTTCTGCAACAAACGCAAGAAAATCCTGATTAGACCGGGAGATGTAAGTGCAGTGAAAATGAATAATTTAAACATCTACCAATAATTACGGTTTATCTCAAACTCAGACTGACATAGTTTGTTTTTCCTTTAAAACATACAGTAAGCTTTCTGAATTAAATAAGAATGTTGGTTGAGTCTTGGGAAAAGCTTATGCTATATTCATAGTGGAATCCACTGCATGCATATTAACCTAAGAACAAATTGAAGACACATTTTACTGTCAGTTTAATCTGACCTCAAATATTATATATACCAACTCCAATTATTGTCTCCTGCATTATGATAAAAAGACATGTAATGATGATTGTTAGGGAATAATTTGCTTAGGTATTCAACCTTCGACACAGTTCATCATTTTCTCTTCTCACTGTCTCTTTTCCCATGGCATAGTTCTACGGCCTTGGGTATTGTTGCTATCTCTCTTGGGGGGCAGCTTGGGCGCATTGTTGTTGCCAGTCTATGACAGAGCACAAGCCGCCATGAGGTAGTTTACTGTTCAGGGACGTAGGCTCCCTGGCGCACATTCTTTCCTATGGACGAGAGCTCTAGTTAGATTCAGGGTCCATATTGCTTTAGTCTCGCTGATGAAGAATGTTGATTATTACACTCCGAACTAGTTAAAACCTCGAGCTACAGAAAGAGTTCTTCAGAATTGGTTTGGCAACCGCTGTGTCAACTCGTGACACACCACCTGTCTTGTGAATTCTCCGGCCGTAACTCCAAATAATCCGTCAGTGTTTGCCATCAAAGCTCCAGCTCTCCTCGTGTCTCTCTGAGTCCTGTTTCCAATTGCTTCAGAAGTTTCCCCCGCAATGTTAATTAAAAATAATTACTTAAATAGCACAACTTGATGCTTTAACATTTTAATGTAGTAATTTAAATAAAAAAATATTTTGAGTGAAGAATGTATCCATTTAAAACGTATTAACTAGCATCAAAAACCTGCAATGTTTCACTAAATAAGTTGCAGTTTGACGACTTAAATATTGACACAGTAGAGAGAAGTGAACTGAATAGAGAAACTGCTCTTTTTTAATACTTTTTGTTTTATTATATTTTTACTTTATGAGTCTCTTTTCACACCAAGGACATGAGAAACACATGAAAAGTGCATTATGGACCTTTAAAATCCGTCATAGCCTGTAAGTTTGCGGCACCACACACTTTGCTGTGTCTGCGGCCACCTGGGCAGACACTGACATCAGCCGTCCTGAATGGAAGAGCCTTTAAACTTAGTCTAACTCGGGAGCCTGGGCTAAATCACAATCGCTGTCCCGTCCAGAGCTCAGGGTGTCTGCCCGCTCGAGCTGGGGCCCTGCAACATTTCCATCTGGCCTCTGGGGAGTAGCACATCAATTGCTCTCAGCTAAATGCACTCACATATGAATATTTCAGTACAATTTAATGTTTCAGCTACAGCCCCAGAGGAGCAGAGCATCAATTTGTGAACACAGTTCTCCTGGAGTTAAAAGCCAGGCCGGATAATACAGTATGAAAGGCGCTGTCAATCTAGAGGGGCTTTTTTTCTCTTTACTTCAGAGAGAGAAAAAATGCACCCCCCCTTTGCCTTCCAGCTGAATACAAACAGCTTTCCAAAGTTTTCTCTGGAAAGTAGCCGACTGAGGCAGCAGCTTCGGGGTTTCCAGAGCCACCGGTGGATTTGCCAAGCTCGGTCAGTTTTCCCTGAGCTGTGGCTGTCTGCCATTTGGTCTCCACATGCTCACACACACAGCTGGTAAAGGGAGCGGGTCAGGGAGCGCAGCACCTGCTGTCCTGTTAATAAAATACCCCAAAGTGATGCTGAAACCTCTTGCTTCACACAGAAAAGCTTCCCTCAGGTGTGAGAACATGAGTGCTTTACAAAACAGGCAGATTGTGCACACAACTGGGATAATCAGCTGGTCAGTAAACACAACATTATGGAGCACCTGGCACAAGAAGTAAGGCCGGGACTGTTTTACCCAAAAATGCAGCCTGTGCATTGTGTTCAATTAAGCTACAACTAACGAGTACTTACACATCCATTAATCTGCTATAGATTTCCCAATTAATCAATTAATTGTTTGTTCTACAAAAGGTCGGAAAATAGTGAAAAATAGCCACCCATATCTGGCAAAAATATCTCCTTTAAATAGCTTTTTTCTACAAATAGCAGTCCAAAACGTTATATATTATTTAGTAAATAAAGGAATTATCAAAATAGTTGCAGAAAATATATGAGTCAGTCGACTAATCTGTATTAAAAAACATAAGATTAAAGTTTTAAATGTATTGCCATTGAAAAGAGATTAAGAGTTTTTGGTGCACACATATGTTAAAATGTCAAAATGATAGTGTATGTGTAAAACAAGAGATAGCCTGCAACAATAACATGTATTGCATCAGATTGCGTCAGGTGTTCACGTTATTTTGTCCACTGACTGGAATCCACAAAAATGTTAGCTTCAGACAATTCTGTTAAATTCGAAAGAATCAAAGCTTAATATTTAATGAACTATAATTACATTTCTAATAAATAGGAATTGATACATTTCAAAGCATAGTCTTGAAGTTTGATTATTAAAATGGTTCTCTCTTTGTTTCAATGGACACATTTATGTACAGGCCAACCGTTTCAGAGGCGTCACACTGATGGAGTTGTTGTGACTGGTCCAAACAGAGATGCTTCTTTCCTCATTTAAGTGACACGGTGTTAGAGCTGCTGATAAGCAACGAGGCCGCCGCTCTGTGCTGATGAGAGCAGCTGATAATAAAATACAAGATTTGCATTTGTAAAATAAAACAGGCGGCTGACAGTTACACTGATAAGGTAATAATGGCACAGATTCTTCAGCCTAACAAAGCAGGGCTGCCCTGGGGCACCAATCAAAAATTAATACTAATTATCATGTGAATACTGCATTAACTCTGAAGAATTATGAATTATAAATCTGCAACATGGTTCCCCTCTCAGAACGCCCTCGCTCGCATGAGGATGTGATTTGTTTTTTACTCGCTGAGGCATTTTTGAGGACTATGTCAAACAATAAATAACTGCACACATACCATCACTGCTGGGATAAATAAAAACCATTTATTGTGACATATACTGCCATTATGTATTGAAAGGAATACTTGACCTTTTTGTCTTTAAGGTTATTACAAAATGTTTTGAGAAGATATCCATTTACACATTTTTAATATCTTATAACCTACTGAGTGCTTGTATTAATTGTTGGCTGACTCTGGACATAAGACTGGCTTCAAAGCACTAACAGCTAACTCTCTATTGGTTATGGTAAATCATTCAGAGCTTTAAACCAGCCTTTTACTCCTTTCAAGAGGTTTCGAGGATCAAATGGTGCTGAGAGTCAAAAAAGGGAATTCTTTCAAATATATACCTGTCAAATTACATTTGAGCTTTTTGAGTATTATTATTATCTTTTTATTTATTTAAAGAAAATAGAATATTTACCAAAGTGTGAGTAATCATGACAGTTTTAAGTATCTCGAAATGTTACTAAACATTTAGTAATTCTTTTGAGAATATTAGTTCATATATTCATAGATTTGTTTTTGTTTTATTTAATTGTGATCAAGTATAATGTTACGGCATGCTTTTTCTGACAATCAACAGTATTCAGCTTTATTTTATTCATAAAAACAATCTTTGAATTTAATCTAAAACCAAAAGGGTCCACAATACATTTATATATATATGTACAGAAAAAAGCCCAAACATTCTTGATTTAAAAACCCCACACATCATGATACACACATGACATGTAAAAAGAAATGGACTAAGCAAACAAGAAAAAGAAAATACCTGCAGTCTTCATTTGATCCTCCAGCTCTTACAGCAGCTTACAGTTGTCACCACGCTGCAGGCCTTGTCCTGAATAAACACAAAGACAGAAGGTCAGTAAAGACCAGGCTGGAGGTTTTATTCCCACTGAGACACATTCAATGCTGCATGGCCTTCTGCTGTTGCTGCATCAGGTACAAATAGTGTGTTTTTTAACAGAGATAAGCCACAACCGGCCGATTAATGAACGAATTAGGTTGTGAACTGAACACACAAGATCTTCCTATGATATGATGGACACGATAACATCTAAAAATAAGTATTTGGTTCAAGAACGATGAAAGCCATTATATCTATCATATCCAAAACTGCTTTTATTTTTTATCAAAATTAGGAAACGTAAGCCTTCAAAATTATAAGATGGAACTGGATGTCTAAACACAACTTTATTTCTGATGAGCTCAGATGTGTCACTCCTGGTTTAGAGCCACGGGGAAGCCCCACAGAAGACCAGGGGAAACTGTGGATGAATAAATAAACTAGAAGGGCACTCCGAGAGCTCAGACCTCCGCCAAGGCCCATCTACAGTATGGCCCTATATGTCCTATCTCGCTATGTTAATGAAAGTAATAAATAATTTGTGAATCCGCTCCAAAATGTAATGTTTTCTTCCGTGTTCTATCAAACAGTAGCATGAAATCCGGACCAACATTCATTTGCATTTTCCTGCCGACACACAGACGGACAAACTAATCAAACCAAAAACATATCCTTCTAAGTGGAGATCAAAATATACACTACTGTCATCTGATATCTGATATAACATCTTGACAATGATTGTCAATATAAGAATATGTATTTAAGGATTGGGTTATTTAAATAAAAAAGTCCATCATTTATCTAATGTGGTCATTTTTGTGGTGATCTGACTTTCTTGGTTTCTTTTAAATGTCACATAGCAATTTTCCATTTACTAATATTTATAAAACTAATAAAGCCCCCCCATTCGGCATCAGCACTTCATCCTTTTTTCCTTTAAAATGAAAGACGCTCCAACATATTTAAACAAATTGGCACAACTTCAACTGGATCCAGCCCGGGGAGTTTGAAGGAATTGGCGTAATGAATTACTCATGGATCTGACAATAAAGGCAAAATGCCATCGAACCCTAAAACATTCAAGAGACAACAAGTCACTGTGAAAAGTTCAGTAATGCAGCCCAGGAGAGCCCCCCTGAATTCCAAACAAGAACATTTTGCTCTTGCCAAAGTTTAAGTGGATGATTTCAGTCACACATATATATTTCATGAGGTTAATGGGCCCCATCAAATTGTGATTAGAGATTCTTCAGGGAGGCTTTTATACTGGAGTGACAGCTAGGAGAGCTTGATCAGGCAGTCATTAACAGGTCACAAACAATCACGCTGCATGTGACATTTCCTGTCACTATACATACATACATGAAACACTCGGGAAGTTAACCTGTGACCTGCAGCATTAGCAAAACAATTAGTGCCCATAATGATTTTTGACTACATTCAATCTTTTATTCTTCTGCAATGCACTGTGGGTAATGCCATATACAATACAGCAGGCATAAATAAGTCACAGCATCACGATCAAAACTTTGCCAAAAGGTTTGAATGATTAACTGCACCGCACGTAATGCATGCGTCTACAGAATTAATCAGGCTCTGTGTGCGATATATCATTATTATGAGTTATAATAATATTGGTTTTCAACTTATCCTTGAGGGAAAAGAAGCAAAGACGTAGAGTTTGTTACAAAGAACCTTGAGCAAATAGTTGGATGGTATTCAAGAGGTATCGGTTGTTTTGACTTTTTCCTAGTCCTCTTTTCATTTTCATTGTTTACGCCACTTACTGCGTCGATCACAACAAGAGGCTTACAAGCAGGGTCCTGATAGAGGTGTCTTGGGATTTGACCTCAGTGTTGTCTGAAATAGTAGCCACATCCAGCTTAACAGACACTCAGGGGAGGAGATTGTGTAAATAAAAGGGAACCACAAAATGTTTTAAGCCGATGGATCAAAGCTCTCAGATGTTTAGTGGCAGAGACTATAAAAGGTAAAGTAATGGTTATAATGAGCTCTCTGAGGGAAGGGTGAAAAGGTTATGTAAAGGCATAAGAATATACTCAGCCTGGTTTTTACAACTATCTGCAACAAACGTATTTTATATTCAAACCACCCTTTTTCCAATAATAAAACATAGTGGCTTGAATATGATACTATTCTTTGTCTGAGAAACACCATACCTGAAGGACATCTTAAGTGAGTGATGCAAGTGAGGATGTCACATTGAATTAACCATACACTGCACATTATTTTTAAATAAAATGAAGCCTAGAAATAAAGATCAATATAAGTTGTATTATAATACATACAATTTAATTGAATGCATCCTAATTCAATTGAAATGCCATTAGATGTACGAGCTGACAGTTCTATTGAACAATCAGAACACGGATGAAGTCACTCATTACAAACAATACTACTTTTAGATGCATTACAACATTGAGACATGTTTCAAGTTGCAAAATATAATAAGCATAATTTCATATTTGATTATTTTAGTATGCATGCCCAAACACTTCAACCCATGAATAATAGAGAATCATTCTACTGAGAGTGAGTCTGGATGTACTAAATCAGATCTTAAACAGATTAATTTCTGTAGCTATAACAACTTCCCCAACTTTATATTGGTAGACTTATTAAGTATAGTGAACTTCATAGCAAACAATGTTTTGAACGGTTTACATTTGATTTAATATGTATAACACTAAAAACAAGACCAAACAAACAGATGTTTATGTCCCATATTTTTTAGATGACAGTTTACCGATCTTGTGGTCTTATCATGTATCTCCTTCGGTTCTTGCACTCCTGAATGGTCTCCAAAGTAAAACATGTCTCTGTAAGATATTTTGTATTGTCTTTAGGAAAAAAGTACAGGACAGACAGGAGATAGCAGATGCACAGTTGGCACGTCTCTGTAGATCACCAGTGCCCTTGAAAAGCATTGACCAGTTCGGGCCGAGAGCTGCAGGTATATTTGTATCATTGTATTCCTGCTGTTAGATTTGGTCCTTCACAAATACTGCAGGCCTACCTTCAGAAATTATTCTCGACCTAGCCGACAGCAGTGATGACATTCAGTGTAGAATGGGGCAGTCTGTTGTTGTTCTCTGTCAGGAGGAACACGTTTTAGACATTTAGAAGTATGAAACATAACATTGAGAAAGAATGATAATATCTAACATTGTAATACTGTGATGTTAACTTGTATTGCTTGAGTATTTTGGCATGACGGCCAACATCTTGTAGGTAATTGGTCATGCTTCTTTAATTGCAATTTTAAATGGTTTAATAAACAATCAAGTAGGCTATCAGTAAACCCATCTATGTCAAAGGCCAGAAGCATTTTCTTCAGCATATTTTATGACAGGAATGCTATTGTGCAGAAATACTGCACATAATGACCCTGTGTGGTAACATATGTAAAATAACATGAAGACAGCCTACTGAAGCCAGGCAACAGGGTCTCAAAAGATGTGAGACTGTTACTCCATGGTGGCCATGTCCATAACACAAATAAATATGTAAGGACCTACTGTATTTAATATGTAGGCTATTCTTAACACCAGTGCTTGACTTATGAGAGCTGCAGTGATGTCCTCATTGATTATAATAATATGAAAACCTGAAATCTGTTGGAAAGGTACATTTATAAACACATCAACTAGTTTGCGTCTAAACTCCCCTGTAATAAAGCGTTGAGGGATAAAACCCCACGGTATTTCCTGATTTGAGCATCTTTTGACACTACAATAACAAAGCCACGCTTGGAGATCACGTTTTTCTTGCAGCAAAGTACCCACAGACTCTACCGGGAATCAATTACAAGGATCAACTACTCACCAAAAGTTCCCAAACTCCTCTTCTATCACGGATAATAAAGTATAGCCAACATGATTGAAGGGTCGTCTCGTAAGCAAACTAAAGTTAGTTAGGAGCAGTCTTGAACCAATCAAGCCACTGTTTAAGCAGGGGGAGCATGTGTCGTTTGTGCCTTTCAAAATAAAAGTCACAACTAAAGAGCGGTATGGTTCTTAAAGTTTCCCTGATTATTGGCATCAACTCAAGAGCGATTTGTTTCCAATACTACAAAACACTACAAGAGAGAAGATGAACAATTTAGTCCATTTTTTGAGATGCCAACCAACAGAAGAACTGCAATGTTTGTCAGGGTAGAAAGCATTATACCATGACAAACATTGTATGACAAATATATATAATCTTGACACATTTATCACATAGAAAATTGCTTTTTATGATTTGTTTTTATTATTATCATGTAATTTGCCATTTCTTTTTTGTGACAGTCGGCTACACAACAATTGAAGGATCATGTATTGTCATTCTATAACACAAGGTTGCAGTTCAATGTATGCAATACAAGAAACACGCGACAACACAGAAGAAGAACTTTTGTGCATTCATGTACCTTTTGAATTTGCTTCAGGAGGAATTCAGCAGCAACAAAACCATTGATGGGCAGATAACAGGGCTCTTTTACATAAAAAATGCGAAATCATGCCATCCACTTTGATGTTTATGCACCAAGAATTATTGATATAAACACTGTTCGCTTCCTCTGGATCCTGCAGAGTCCTGCACTGTGTCCTCCGTCAGGTGCATGGAGCAGGTGATGTGGGTTTATACGTTGAGCTATAGCCTTAAACCATCCATCTTATATCCCCACGACCGGGCATCAGACAGGAGGAGGAAAGGCTGTATTTGTTTGGTTTTATTAACTGTTCTCTGGATTAAGGAGGAAAGGACTCGGGAGGAAGGAGGTGTTTGAACAAAGACACGGCAAACAGTGGCATTGTGCAACTTTCTGCGTTATTTGTTCCTTTAAACAGATCGAACCTGTCAAGGGAAATACTACACGTGTGTTATTTTAGTTTACCAAAAAAAAGTAAATGTATGAAGCCGTAATTGCTTCTCATAGCCTTAATTGCTTATACATTATTTGAAAATTAAAAAGAAATGTTGTTTCCACTTCCATCGAGAAACTGTATACAGACTAAGGAATGTTAGTTTAGATCTTTAGTTTTCAAGATTTTTTTTTATAGACAGATAGATTACAGACTGAATGAAACTAAAGTCCAATATACTGTTTGCTCACCCAGCACCCCCCCCCCCCCCCCCTCCTCTACTGTAGTTCTCCTTTTCCTCCAATAGATGGCCTTGTTCTCGAGTAGATGAGCCTTGTCGACAGTCCTCAGTTACCGCTGACGTTATGCCCATGAAAACAAATGACTACAAGTAGCCTATGTATGGTTTGTTTTACTTTTTTAAATTCAAAAAGATCAAAGCCATAATCTGCCCTAAATGTATTTTTTTTTGTCAAAGATCAACAATGCAACTATTGTTGTCGGAAGAATTTTTTTCATCATGACATGACATGGAAACAAATGTATTTGGATGTTTGATGAAGATTATGAAAACACCTAACATCACAATTTAACTTTATTTAAACAGACGTAGCGTTCAAACCTGTGTGAAACTGTGCAGGAGAACCAACTTGTGATAACCTGATAAAATATTTATTGTAAATGATAACGTTTTGATTAATTCTATAAACAAAACAATGTAGGCTAATTTGAACAATGTATGAGTCGTTTTGTGGTAAATATTTTTAATACTATAAGTTTTGCCACATATTGTTGAATATCGATGGGAAATTAATGTGAATAATTTGATCAAAAACTCATGTTGTTGCAGTTAAATGAAATGTTATTTCTTCGTTTGAAGAAACACAATAGGACCATCTGCATATGGAAGATCATGTCATAAAATATATGTTTTTACATGTTGGGAGAAAAGGAGGCAGTGGGGCGATTGGAGAGCCCAGTAAAGACGTCATGACGTCAGAGCAGTAGCGTGTGGGACCTTGCAACCCCCCTCCCTGCACCCTCCCAGTCCGGAGAGACAAACGTTATCAGGGAGGCAGCCGAGGGCCAGTCATCTCCTCACATCTTTCTGCATCTACCACAGTCCCCTTTATCCGTCCTGTATGGTGGATATTATTTTCAGCTCTTCTTTCTTGGGTGATATGGGGGATCATTCCAAAAGTAAGTAAGCTGCTCGCTGGAGTTTTAAGGGGCAGATTTTGTTTTCGTCGCGATAGCTTTTTGGGCTACATGACATATGTGCAGCAAGTTATTATTTTTAATGAATCGACAATTGTGTAGCATTTTCTTTCCTCTGTATTTTTTAGGCGCTTTTTTAGAAATAACAATTCAGCGACGAAAAGTCTTCCTCTGTTACATAACATTAAGACTTGTCCAGTCTGCAAAATGCACTGCAAAACTGAGTCATACAGGCTGGACTAAATTTTGTTAAAATACTTCCGTTTTTTGTATGTTTATTGTGCTGCATTTTCAGTCTGTGATAACAGTGATGTGGGTTCTTTGCAGAGAAGCCAGGAATCGCGATGTGTGTAGGATGTGGAAGTCAGATCCATGACCAGTACATACTGAGAGTGTCTCCCGACATGGAGTGGCACGCAGCCTGCCTGAAGTGCGCAGAGTGCAGCCAGTACCTGGACGAGTCCTCCACTTGTTTCGTCCGGGACGGCAAAACCTATTGCAAAAGAGATTATGTAAGGTAGGAGTTTGGAAATATTCTCTGTTTATTCTGATTTATGTTGAATCACATCTTGATTACAGTTAAACGTTTTTACATTCAATAATAATATGTATTAGGAAGAAGCAAAACATTATAAAAGAAAGAACAATTAAGACAAATGTAAAAGTGCACACAAATTAGAAGACATTTGTAACAACACATTTACACGAAAAAGGAAGCAAAACGAAAACTCCATCAACACTATATTATTATGTTTTCAAATAAAAATACAAAAGAGTATAAAAGCATTCTTAGACCACAAGATGCAACTTACAACTCTGAGTTGTCTTTCGAAAGATTTCAACTTTTTTTTTTCTCACTTTTACATTTCCACCTTGATTTTTAAATTTTTGACCATTTCCCTCAATTCTCCAGGCTGTTTGGAATAAAATGCGCAAAATGCAACCTGGGATTCAGCAGCAGCGATTTGGTGATGAGAGCACGGGATAACGTCTACCACATCGAATGTTTTCGCTGCTCGGTGTGCAGCAGGCAGCTGCTGCCGGGAGACGAGTTCTCCCTGCGGGAAGAGGAGCTGCTGTGCCGGGCTGACCACAGCCTGCTGCTGGAGAGGAACTCCGCTGGAAGCCCCCTCAGCCCCGGACACATCCACTCCAACAGACCGCGTCTAGCAGGTCGGATTATTATTATTATGAGTAGGCCTATTATTATTTATATTGCTATTATTATCATTATTATTATTATTATTATTATATTTTTCTAACAGCAGCAAAACATGAAATTGGCACTACATTCCAAAATAAAAGACCGTTTAAAGAAATTAATGACACCACTTTTAATAGCCTATACTCAACAACTAAATCTACAAATAAAAAGTAAACGTTTATTTAAAAAAAGTTATTGCTTGAGTTTAGCAAATGTACATGAAAATCAATATAATATTTTCAAGGATTATTACTTTTTGTCGTCATTTACTATCCAGATAATTTGTGGTTACCCGGCTGACTGTGTGTGTTTGGTTGTAATGTGTAATGTGTGTGTGTAAGGTGTGTGCTGCAACCTTTCTTTAGGCTAATTTCATAATTGATCTCATTAGGGTTAACCTGCTCTGTCGCCATTATCTGAATAATCTGCTATTTGCGTCGCGACCGTGGATGTGTGTGTGTGTATATAGCCCAAGTGTGTGTGTCCATGTGTGTGTTTGAGGAACTGTCATCCTGAGAGCGCCTGCAAAGAAAGAGAACAACGCAAATGTGTGAATAATGTTCACTTCCTGCTTTAAAGCGATCAATTCAAAACACTGTATACAGCTCAGAGCACAAACACAGGCCTCCAGCGGGGAAACCGGAATCATTTTCTATTTCAACTTCGTTCTTTTAACCTAATTCAGATGAGAAAAATTCACAATAATGCTAAATGCACCCATAGGCCTAATAATAATTGTAGGCCATCGAAACTCACTTGTTTTTGTGTCCATTCAAGATGTAGGCTACATCTAAATAGTTGGTTTATCATCTAGAAACTTCCCACAAATAATGAAAGTGTTGTTTTTGTCTTCAAAGACCCCTGTAAGCATAAACATTTGATTTGAACTAATTGCAGACATTTTTATGAAACATAATTAAAATCTAAGGCAGATAATTATTATTGCAAAAACAATCCAAGCAATGTAAAGGGAAACAAGTCGCACACTGAGATAATGGGCTGCTGAACTGTATCGAAATGTGAACGGATTGTTGACGCCTTCGCAGTTTCTCACGGTGTTTCCCCCCTCCTCTGTCCCCAGCAGACCCGGTTTCGGTGCGGCAGGCCCCGCATCGGAACCACGTCCACAAACAGTCGGAGAAGACGACGCGGATCCGGACGGTGCTGAACGAGAAGCAGCTCCACACCCTGCGGACCTGCTACAACGCCAACCCGAGGCCCGACGCGCTGATGAAGGAGCAGCTGACGGAGATGACCAGCCTGAGCCCCAGGGTGATCCGGGTCTGGTTCCAGAACAAGCGCTGCAAAGACAAGAAGAGGACCATCCTGATGAAGCAGATGCAATCGCAGCATCACAGCGATAAGTCTATAAGCCTCTTCGTAAGTCAGGCCACTTGATTACTTCAAATATTCATTCATTCCTGTGTTCAAGTAAAAAAACAAACATGACCAAGGTACATTTAGATTTATTGTAAATTCACCCTGTTGTATAGGCGCCCTATTGAGGCTGGCATATTAATGCAAGAGTGTAGTGATAACAGCTGCAGAACACTTACATAATATCCTTATTGCTTTCAAATATTTTAATTTGTAAAAATTAGTGGCTGTTTGGTTGTGAATATCACTGTTTGCATGTAGATTCCT